GGGGGAGAAGTACAACGAGGTTTGACTTTGGGAACGTGTTCACACAAGACGGGAAGATAGAGAAATAGAAACCAGATGTTTTCAAAAGACTAATGCTGAGATTTACCAACTGGCACTGCCACCATTACTTTCACATCCCAACATCACAATGGAAACAAAGCATAAATCGTAAATTCATTGTCTAATAGCATCTTTATACTTACACTGTGCTACCAAGCCCACAAACGAGAGTCACTAAAGTAAAATAAACGCCTGTGAAATTAGATTTTTAAAAATATAGTAGAGGGTTTTACGGCGCTCGCAACTGCATAAGGTTATATGAACGCCAATTGAAATTATATGTCTTAGAAAAACAGAACATCACAAGAAGAGATACGGTAGGCTATGAAGGTAGACCATTGCAGAGCAAGTTGGGTTGACTCCCTGCTTGCAGTACATCGATAAACAACGCGTCAACTAGGTCTATTGGACTTCTATTGACACTACCACCAGACAGTGTAGTGCACATGTACCAGCGAGAGCTAGCTACAACCAGAACCCGTCACCCTGAAAGAGATAGGACAGATTTTATCTGCAGTCGTTAATTTTTTATGAAGTGTTCCAGCTTTTGCAACTCGAGAGTCCATTTGGGTAGATTCCCAGAAAGCATAGGGTTTTTAGCATTCTTAAAAAGACATTCTTTGGTGATAACACCGATTACAATTTTAAAAACTATGCTGAGCGTTTCGTTCCCCAAAAAAGAAGAGCAAAAATGATATAAAAGATAAACACAAATCTCAAATTTTAATGCAATGACGTAGATCTATGTGTTCTATCTCTATCGAAGATGCACACATTGTTTCATTTTCTTAAAAAGCAATACAAAATTTAAAAAATAACAACCCCCCCCCCCCCCCCCCCCTAAAGAGCAGGAAAGGAGGTGAAAGGAGAAAATTCTAGTCTAAGAAAATTTTCCGTCGCTGTCAGGTTTCGAAATGGGAACCAGCTGATATTATGCGAACAACGTACCTCTTGACAACGAGAGTCCCTTAGAAGGCTGGGTAAAGGCGCAAATACAATGTTTATATGGGCATTCCTTTGCGTACATTGGCAAAACCTGATGGTAAGCTGGCCTGACGGTTTAACGAGAGGTGG